CGGCTTCGGGCTGCTCTACGTCCTGTATCAGGTGGAGGAGCTCTCCGGTGTCCGCATGGCCGTCACGTATCCTCCTGGGCAGTGGGAGTGGGCAGGGGGTGGTGGGGTCTGGGGGCGGTGCGGTGCCGAGCGGGGCTGTGGCTGCTCCTTAGCTGGCTGTGGCAGGATGGTGGTGATGTGTGTGGCCGGGCTCTTCTTCATTCCCGTCGCTGGCCTGACAGGCTTCCACGTGGTGCTCGTGGCCAGGGGCCGCACTACCAATGAACAGGTACGTCCAGGGGACTATGGGGGTGTCTGCCAGCCTGGCCAGGCCACCTACGGGTACATTTTGGGAATTCCCGGGAGAGGATGGTTGTGGAGGAGCTGGATTAAAACTGGGGGAGGCCTGTGAGGTGGGGAGGTAGAGCACAGGATGACTGAGGGGCAGCTGCATCCATTGGGGTGCAGTCAGAGGACGGAACTAGGCAGGCACTTCTGGGGCCCAGGAGGTGAATACCCTCTCAGTGGTTGCTGAGCACTGAAACAGGGACTAGGAAAAGGAGCAGGATCTCGCAGGATCTCTGTGCTGGGAGGTTGTCCTGAGGGAGTTGGCGTGGCTGGCTGTGACACTCCTTTATCCTGCAGGTGACAGGCAAGTTCCGCGGGGGTGTCAACCCCTTCACCAACGGTTGCTGTAAGAATGTCAGCCGGGTCCTCTGCAGCTCCCCAGCCCCCAGGTGAGCCCAGCCTCTGCATCCCTGGAAAAACTGCTCCATCCCAGGCTCCAGGATATGACCTTCCTCCCACCCCCTCTCCAGGTACCTCGGGCGCCCAAAGGCCGAGCAGACCGTGCTGGTGAGACCCCCGTTCCTGCGGCCTGAGGTGTCAGACGGTCAGATCACTGTCAAGATCATGGACAATGGTATCCAGACAGAGCTGAAAAGGACAAAGGTGAGGAAGGTGGGGACCAGCGCTGCCTGCGCTGGGGCCCTCCACGGAGCCCAGGGGTGCAAGCCTGCCCTGCATCCGTGAGTAGAGAACCGAGTGAGCCTGGTCACGTTCCCTGTCCCCCTCCATGTCGTCTTGTTCTATGTCCCTGTGGGATGGGAACTGTCCCCCTCCCATGTGGCAGTGACCACATGAGGCTTTGCCCCCTTCATTGCCCTTACTGGTCCCATCCTTCCCCACACAGCACCCTCTGAAGGTTCCCCCTCCTTGGCACTTCCAGCACTCACCTGGGGCACGCGCCGCCCCTGCTCTGTCGGATGGCCTGGGAGGCAGCGGGAGCCCCCAGTGCCACTGTCCATGTGCTGCCAGCCCTGGGGGGCTGAGGCCTCGGCCCCTCCTGACCCCACCTGCGCTTTGTCTCTGCAGTCCAAGGGGAGCCTGGAGGTGACGGAGAGCCAGTCTGCTGACGCCGAGCCGCCACCCCCACCTAAGCCCGACCTCAGCCGCTACACGGGCCTGAGGACACACTTAACCCTGGCCACCACTGAGGGTAAGGAGGGCACCAGAGCCCTGGCAGCCGCTGGGAGGGGAGCCCAGAGCTGCACCAGGCAGGCCAGGAACCAAGGCCGTAGGGCAGACCTGGAGCGCATCAGCATTCCTGGGCCGGTGTATGTGGCCCCTTGCACTTGGAGAAGCCTGCGGGATGCTCGCAGTCAGCTCTGCTCTGCCGGAGGCCGAGCCAGCATGGCGCTGTCTGGAGCCACCGGGAGCTGTGCCTTGCAGCCACCGCGCTGCCAGGATGGAGGAGGCGAAGTGGTGGCGGGCCTGGCTCAGCGGCACAGAGCGTCTGGGGCTGGCATCGTGTGGGCCTGGCCAGAGGTGGGATGTGATGGGCAGAGCCTGTGGCAGCTGCTTTTTGCAGCAGCTGGAGACCCCACAGCTCTCCCGGCCCTGCCTGGGGTCTGCTGCCCAGCCCTGCTGCCCACTGTGGGGTGTGTGTGTCCCATTGAGCGCCCTGACACCCCTGTGCCGTGCACCCCCAGGGTGTCACCCAGCCAGGGCTGCCTCAGGAGCACGGAAGTGCCAGCCTCACACATGTGACTGTGGGGACAACCCTTCCTCCCAGTCTGTCTCTCCCACCCCTGTGCACCTCCCCTCCAGCCCATCCCTGCCCCTAGTCCACCCGCCCCAGGCTCGGTTCTCGGGCAGGGAGGGCAGCGCGTTCCATGCCCACAGCCGCCCTGAGCGTGCCACTCTCTCCCGGCGCAGACAGCAGCTTGCTAGGCAAGGACAGCCCCCCGACTCCCACCATGTACAAGTACCGGCCCGGTTACAGCAGCAGCAGCAGCTCGGCGGCCCTGCCCCACTCCACCAGCGCCAAGGTAAGACAGCCTGGCGTGGAGGACCAGCCCCGAGGGGATGCCACCCCATTCCCGGTTTGGGAAGGGTTTAGGGTGTGCATTGGGAGCTCCACAGGGGCCCCATAGTCATTCTGTGGGTAATCGCTTCCCCTCTGCCCCTCAGCTGAGCCGAGTGAACAGCCTGAAGGAGCCCAACTCCATCTGTGACAGCGGCCACAAGCCCAGCTACCGCTCGGAGCCGAGCCTGGAACCCGAGAGCTTCCGCTCGCCCACCTTTGGCAAGAGCTTCCACTTTGACCCTCTCTCCAGTGGCTCCCGCTCCTCCAGCCTCAAGTCGGCCCAGGGCACGGGCTTCGAGACGGGCCACCTGCAGTCCATCCGCTCGGAGGGCACCACCTCCACCTCCTACAAGAGCCTGGTGAACCAGACGCGCAATGGCAGCCTCTCGTACGACAGCCTGCTCACGCCCTCCGACAGCCCTGACTTCGAGTCGGTGCAGGCGGGCCCGGAGCCCGAGCCGCCGGTGGGCTACACCTCGCCCTTCCTGTCGGCCCGCATCGCTCAGCAGCGAGAGACCGACCTGCACGGCCGCTTCGCCAGCGCTGCCTCCCCCAAGCACGCGGTGCCGCGCGAGCCCTCGCCCGTGCGCTATGACAATCTCTCCCGCCACATCGTGGCCTCCATCCAGGAGCGGGAGAAGCTGCTGCAGCAGCCGCCGGCCCCGGGCCGGGAGGAGGACGCGGGGCTGGCGGACTCGGGCATCCAGTCAACGCCGGGCTCCAGCAACGCCCCCCGCACCAGCTCCTCCTCGGACGATTCGAAGCGCTCACCCCTGGGCAAGAACCCGCTCACCCGCCCGGCCCTGCCCCGCTTTGGCAAGCCCGAGCCCCCCCAAGCGCTGCGGGTGCGCTCGCTGGGCTCCCCCGACCAGCCCGCCGCCCCCCACCTCGGCAAATCCGTGTCTTACAGCAGCCAAAAAACAGCCTCTCAGGCCGGCGGCCCCGAGATCGAGGAGGTGGCCTTGCAGCCCTTACTGGCACCAAAGTGAGTACTGTGATGGCACTGGGGCATCTGTGGCCTGTGGGGGGACCCTCACACAGTGTCCCTCCAAGCCACTGGAGCAGTAGAACACCTCACTCTGGGGAGAGATGCTGGGGGGAGAACAAGGGAAATCTTCCAGTTCTTCCCAGAACACAGCTGGTGCCTCCCATACCTTCTCGGTCACCCAATGGGCTCCTCAGAATCTGGAGTGGGTGCTGGTCCCTAGGGAAGGCAGGGCTGTGGCAATGCTGGGTGCCAGTGACCTGTCCCCTCTCCTGATCCCATGTCTGTGCTTCCTTCCTGCAGGGACGAGGTGCAGATGAGAACAGCCTACAGCAAGTCCAATGGGCAGCCCAAGAGCCTGGGCTCAGCCCCGCCGGGCCCGGGGCCGGTGCCCCTCAGCAGCCCCACCCGCGGAGGTGTCAAAAAAGTCTCGGGTGTGGGGGGCACGACCTACGAGATCTCAGTATGAGGGGCAGAGCTCCCTCCCCTCCTCCCCAGCGGCGGCCAGAGGCTTGTGGACTCCTGTGAGAGCCGGGCAGGGCCCCCTCTGCTCCTCCCTCTCCCCCCCAGGCCATGGGGGCTGGCACACACCCACGGGGGGGGGCTCGGGGAGGGCTCGGGGGGCTGCAGCCCCAGCACTGCCTCGGCTGCACCAGCCACTTGTGGGCCTTGTGCAATCACCCGCTCGCCTGGCGTGGTAGGAACGGATTGTTTTTAAACCAGAATACTTTTTTTTATTATTATTATTGTTACGGATTCTATTTTTTTTCTCTTTCCGAGTTACCAGGTGTGTGTATATATAAATATCTATATATATAAATATAAATATTAAAAAAAAAAAAAGAAAAAAAAAAGAAGCAGAAATTATATATCTTGCCCAGAGAGAGGAAGAAACTACCCTGCTCAGGGCCTGGGTCCCCTGCACCTTGTCCCTGTCCCCAAAGGAGGGACGTGGGGCCGCCTCCTGCACTCATGGAAGGAGCTGTGGTAGGTGCTGGGTGTCACTGTTCCCCCCCTGAAGGGGGCCATGGGGTACCAGGTACCCATCCTTGGACACTCCCGTCCCAGATCTGTGGTGTCTGCAATCTCCATCCCCCTTGAGGGGGCCTGGGGAGGTAGGCAGGGTGGGGGCAGCACCCCCACATCCCCAGCCTGAGCTGGCGCAGAGGCCCCAGCATCCCCCACCCGCAGTTTTTGCTCTTTGTTCTCTTTCCCCAGGGGCTGTGGTCGGGGGGGGTTGTTGGTTTTGTTGCCTTTTTTTATTTCTGTTAATGATTCCGAGGAGGTTTCTCGCTGTCGCAGGGGTGTTTTTATTTCCGCTCGCTCGGGGAAGAGGCAGGTGCGTCCCCGGAAAGCAATATTTTCTCATCACATGCCAAAAAAGCGCAGCCAAGGAGCCCTGTGCTCCCCGTCCCCAAAGCCCTGCCGGCAGTACCGGACTCTTTCTCTACAGCAATAGCTCCAGTGGCCCCGCACAGCCACGACAGGGTTTTTTATTATTATCAGCCATTTTAAAACGAGGAATAAAAGGATATTTAATGAGCCACCCCAGGGCCGTGCGTGTGCTTTGTTTGGTGTCCAGGGATGGAGCAGCCCCTCCAGGGCTCCTGATCCTCAGGGTCTCGGCCTTCCCCCCGATCCCGAGAGAGAGAGAGAGAGAGAGAGAGAGAGAGAGAGAGAGAGAAGGGGGTCTGGTAAGAGCTGAGCCTGGCCCAGTTTTGGGGAGGCACCGCCTTGAGGCAAACTCTGCTCCCACAGAAGGTAAGAATTTTCCAGGCATGGGAAAAGCAGTTCCAGGGAAGGTGTCGTGGGTGCTGGTGAGGTTTGGGATCCAGAGGAGGGCACCCCGCACGCTCCAAGGACACCTTGGTTTGGGCTCCTCCATGACAGCTGAGGGTCACAGCAGCCATGGCCACCAGCCCCTCCTCAGAGCAGACTTTAAAAAGTAACTAAAAGAGGCTTTGATGCTCCAGGTTCTTCAGGTACAAAAGCCCGAGGCCAGCACCCACAGAGTCCGTGCCCCTGGTCCTGGGGGGCTGCAGGGGTGTCCTCTTAGCCAGGGGGCCAGGCCAGCCCCAGAGTCCCTGGGGTCAGCTGGGGCTGTTCCCATGGGCCGGGGGATCCCCAGGGCGTTGCCGGTGTGGCCTCACCGTAAACTGCTGCTGGCCTGGGAGCTGCCCACCCCCGGGTGCTCCGGGCTGTGCCGATTCTGCAGAGGCAGGACAGACAGAGACAGAACACGTGAGAGCTGCTGGGCAACAGCCCCTTGGCCGCTCACAGAGCCCTTCAGGGGTCCACAGGCTGGGCACTGAACCCCAGCCTTGCCACTCACCTTCTTTTTCTTCTTCTCTTTCTTCTTCCTCTTCCGCTCCGGATCCTCCTCTTTTTTCTTCTTTTTCTTCTTGTGGTCGGAGTCCGAGGGTGTTTCTGGAGAAATGCAAGCACTGGATGAGCCGATGCTCTGCTGATGTTGAAGGGGAGGAGGGGGGTGGCTGCAGCAGCCCTTACCTGGGGGGACTGGGTCCTGCGTGCGGCTCTGTTTGTGCTTGTGCTTATTCTTCTTCTTAGGCGGCTGGATATGCATCAGCCGGCACTGCTCGGGCAGCTGTGGAGAAACGGGGCTGGTCAGGCCAGGCCGGGCCCCTCCCACCCCCCATGCTCCAGGCCCCGGGGCTCACCGGGCCGGCGTGCAGGCGGAAGCCGGTCAGCATGGCACCCGTGAGCGGGGTGAAGGAGCTGCCACAGATGGGCGGCTTCTCGATGAGCGAGCGCAGGCTGCTGCTGTCGTGGGAGCCGGGCAGGTCGATCATGCCGGGCAGGTCGGGGAGGAAGTTGCTGAGCTTCTCCTTCACCTTCTTCCCGCAGAACTTGTTGTAGGCGTGCTCCAGGTTATAGTGTGTGATCAGGTTGGTGCTGCCCGTAAGCTCTGTAGTGCCTGTGCGGCCGCGGGGGAATATGGGCAGGGGGAAACGCCCCGACGACACCCCAGGCCTCTCTGCAGCCGCGCCTAGGTTCCGTGACCCCCCTGGATCCCCCTGCACCGGGATCCTCGCACCCTCTCCTCAGCCGTACCCAGGCCCCGGGACCTCCTGCACCCCCCAGCACCGGGATCCCCGGCCCCGGGGACCCCCCGCCACCCAGCGCCCCACCGGACCGCCCGTTGCGTGACCCCGCCCCCGCAGCCTCATTGGCTGGTGGCGCCGTCAGTTCCCCCCACGGCCGCATTTCGCCGCGCTGATTGGCCGAGAGCGGCACCCGCCCCGCCCCGCGGCCCGCCCGCACCTGGCAGCTCCCGCAGCAGGTAGAAGGGGCCGCCGGCGGCCTTGCGGGCCGCGTCCTCGCCCGGCGGCGGCGCGGCGGCCGAGGCGGCGGGCGGCGGTGCGGCCGCGGCGCCCGGCGCCTTGGCGGGCCCGAATCCGAGCGCGGCGGCGGCAGCGGGCGGCGGCTCTGCCGCGCCGAACAGCGCCGAGAAGTTCTCCATATTCCCGGCGTGCCCCGCGCGGGGCCGCCCCGCCCCGCCATTGGCCGAGCACCGCCCCTGCACCGCCCCTGACCCCGTTGCTAAGGGAGGCTCGTCCCAGCCTTTTGATTGGCCTCGTCTCTCTGTCCTCTCATTGGCCCGCAGGTGCAGAGGAGAGCCCGCCTCGCCTCTCGCCATTGGCCGGAGGGGGGAGGCTCCACCCCTACTGCAGTGGGCGGGACGGAGGGAAGATGGCGGTGGTGGCGCCGCTGCTGGCACTGCTGTGGGCACTGCCCGGGCTCTGCCGGTGGCTCGCCCGGCCCTACTACCCGCTCTCTGCGCTGCTCGCCGCCGCTTTCCTGCTCGTGCGCAAGGTCCCGCCGCTCTGCCGTGGGCTGCCCTCGCAGCGGGAGGATGGCAACCCTTGTGACTTTGACTGGGTGAGGCGGCGCGGCCTATTCCCGCACCCCCGGCCTGTCCCCGGGCCTGTTCCCGCATCCCCGGCCTGTTCCCGGGCCTGTTCCCGCACCCCCGGCCCTGGCCTGGTTCCCTCCTGCTCACACAGCACCCCGGCCCGGCTGAGGGAGGAGATGCCCTGGCGTTGCTCTGCGATGTCCCCCTCCAGCCGAGAGATCCCCCCAGGCAGTGGTCGAGCCCATCGCCGTGGGACGGCTCGCTTTTCTACCTCGGGAGGGATGGGGTTTCTGGGCTCTGGCAGGGCCTTGGGGCCAGTAGGGCCTGGCATGGCCACAGGTCCCTGTGCAAGGCCAGGCCAGGCATGGCTCCAAGGTGTCATGAGCACTTGCAGCTCATGCTGTCACTTCTCTGTGCCAGAGGGAGGTGGAGATCCTCATGTTCCTCAGTGCCATTGTCATGATGAAGAACCGGCGCTCCAGTGAGTCAGGGGGATATGGGAGGCTGGGGCTGCTTATGGGGCCTCCTCCAACAAGAGTGGGGGTGGCATCTGGAGGACCAAATCCAGCCCTCCCTGAAGTTACCCCCAACCTTCTGGGGGAATCTGGTCCTATCCCTTATTGCTGTCTCTGCATTGCAGTCACCGTGGAGCAGCACATCGGCAATATCTTCATGTTCAGCAAAGTGGCCAATGCCATCCTGTTCTTCCGCCTCGACATCCGCATGGGGCTGCTCTACCTCACGCTCTGCATAGGTGAGCCGGGATGTCTTCCTGCCCTAGATTCACCTTGCCCTGGCTCCCCCTTGCTGCTCTGGGGCCGCCCAGCTCGCTGCTCAGGCCCAGCCTGGCCCTCCTGGCACTGGGAGGCTCAGGGTGCTGTCATTGCAGTGTTCCTGATGACCTGCAAGCCGCCCCTTTACATGGGCCCTGAATACATCAAGTACTTCAGTGACAAGACCATCGATGTGAGTATCTCCCAAGCCCTGGGGGTTTTGTGGGGGCTCTGCCCACCCCCCCTAAGCCCATGCCCCTGTGGCAGGAGGAGCTGGAGAGGGACAAGCGGGTGACGTGGATTGTTGAGTTCTTTGCCAACTGGTCCAGTGAGTGCCAGTCCTTTGCCCCCATCTTCGCCGACCTCTCTCTCAAGTGAGTGGCACCCACTGGGATCTTGGTGGGTGACGGGGCCCATGGTCCTCCGTATCCCTCACAGCCATGTGTCCCCATCCTGCCCAGGTACAACTGCTCAGGACTCCAGTTTGGGAAGGTGGATGTTGGCCGGTACACAGATGTCAGTACCAGGTGTGGGGAATACAGCCTGGGCAAACAGGGCCCACTCTGGGGCGGTCCCTGTGACCCTCCAGCCCGCTCAGGCTGCCTGAAGGTCACTGTTGGCTTGTCCTGACACAGGTACAAGGTCAGCACCTCACCTCTCACCAAGCAGCTGCCCACCCTCATCCTCTTCCAGGGTGGGACAGAGATCATGCGGCGACCGCAGATCGACAAGAAGGGCCGGGCTGTGTCCTGGACCTTCTCTGAGGTGGGTGGGACCCTCCAGCCTTCTGTTCCCCTGCCTGGCCCGTGCCTGGGAAGAAAAGGGGAGCACGAGGTCCCACTGATGCTATGTCTTGGCCACAGGAGAATGTGATCCGGGAGTTCAACCTTAACGAGCTCTACCAGAAGGCCAAGAAGCAGTCGAAGCCGCGGGAGGAGGGGCCTGAGGAGCCCCTAGCCGTGCCAGCGGCTGCGCCTCAGGAGGAGACCAAGAAGGACAAGTAGAAGCTGCCCTGTACTGTCGCCCATCACTATGTCACCATCACCCTGGTGGCACCGGCCCTGCGAGCCCGCCCGGCCCTGCCCGGAGCCGCTCTCTGTGGGGACTTGTCCCGGCTGAGCCCCGGGAAAGCAGCGGTGCCCCCCGGCCGCGTGCGGGCAGGGCGGTAGGAGGGGCCCCGCTTCGGTTAACGCTCGCTCTCATCCATCACTGACAATAAACGGTCCGTGCCGTGCCTGTGTCCCGTGTCCGTGTCCGTGTCCGTGTCCCCGGTCCCGGACCGCGTGTGAGGGCGGGGCTCTGAGCAGCCCTCGCGCTCTGATTGGCTGGGGCGGCGCGGGCGGAACCAGAACTCGCCGGGGCGGCTCCGGTGCCCCTCTCGGCCCCGCCCCTTCCGGCCCCGCCCCCCGGCGGTGCGCGCCACCGGCACGTGGCCAGCGGCAGGTAGGAGGCGGCGCGGCCTCTCCAGATCCCGCGTGTGTCCCCTCCCTTCCCCAGGGGCCTCGCTT